GAAAAATCAGTGGCTGTTTGGATGATTTATGACTCTCTAATGTAAATCCAGCAACTCTAATTTCTTGATTTGAGTTGATTTCATGGTTTCTTCAGAATAAGAGGGGAAACACTCACAATAGCCTCTTGGGAAATGAATAACTCATTTGTACTTAGCGATGGCCAGCATGGTTGTGGTTATGCATATTCCTATTAGTTATCATTTTTCCTTGCCCCACTTCATATTTCCCTCCCTCCAGCTTCTCTGGTGTTATACTTCTTGATAAAATAGTAATACAAGAGTACAAAAATCTCAGCCTTGAGATTTAACTTCTGGAGAATTTAACCAAGTTTGGGTTCTTCTGAAAGTAGATTCTGATACAAAGGCTTATGTGCAGTAACTTATCTTGAAGATGATTGTAAGAAAAACAAGTGAGGAAGCAGGGGAATGTAGGGTAGGGAAGAGAAAAAAGCTAAAAAGTCTATGTTCTAAATAAGATCATTGTAAGTAATTAGAGCTTAATCTTGCTATAGAACCTCTGAAAAAAACTTGTAAAGTGTTCCTCAGAGTTGTAGCACCAAGACCTGCATTTACAGTCATGTTGGAGTAAAAGAAAAGTCATGACCTTATGCCATAAACAACTAGAAAACTCAACAAAATATGTGAAACAACTGATTTTAGACGACAGGGAACAAATGACTAGGGACCCTGAGAAAAGGAAGCAAATAAGGTTAAGTCCATGATCGCCCTTGCTTTTTGTGGATCAACTCTGGACCACTGTACAGGGAGGGAGACCCCAAGCAGAGCATAGTGATTTTGTTGAGTTGAGGAGACGCAGATTTGAATTTAGGGGAACTGATATGACTGTAAGCTATGGAGTAGAGGTGCAGAAAGGAGACATCTGTGCAGGAAAATAGTGCTCCACAAATCTCCCTATTCCATTGGGCCTCTGTGATCAACACAAAGTCACACGTGTATAGGGTGAAACTCTGTAAAGTCAGGCAGAGAGTGGCCAGAGATCTGTAAGCTGAGCAATTCTTAGACTTCATGTGGGGTGGGGAGATAATTAAGGTCTGACTTGTTAAAGTTGAAAGAACTCGTGAGCACTCAAAGTATTCTGTAAAGACACAGAAGAAATATGACTTAGTAGTATAGCCCGAGGGCACAGGACTCTCTCTAGACCACCCTAACAAAGCTTAAAAACAAGTCTCAAAAATATCTAACTGATGTTCTAGTAACTTAATTTCCTGCCAGAACAGAAATCAAGACTCTAAAAGAAGAAAACAAAACCTCAATGCTCATTAACACATGATTCAAAATTGCCTGCACTCAACCAAAAATTGCAACACATGCCAAGTAGAAAAGTGTGACCCATCACCAGAGAGAAAAATCATTCAATAGAAATAGGCTCAGAAATGACAGAATGATAGAATTAATAGACAAGGATTATAAAATAGCTATTATAAATATGTCCAAGGCTTTAAAAGAGAATGTAGACATAATAGAGAAGCGGGACATGTGTAGATATGAATTCAGATATAGGTAATATAGATGTAGATAGAACTATCTAACTAAGGAGAACTAGAAAATAGAAATTCTTCCACTAACTCCTGCCCCTCAGTGAAGGTTGCCTTTGAGGGCATTAAATCACAGGCCATCCTGCATGTGAACTGAGCAAATACTCTCTTCCATTTCCTCCTCGCCACACCTAAATGGAGAGAGACCTCAAGAAGAAAATCAGAAGGAGAGAGGAGCTTGAGTTGGGAAACTGTCAGCATGAATAGATGTTGCACAATGCCACTGTGGAACTCACTGGTAAGCAGAGGGGATATGGAGTGGGACATCAAAGGTGAAGATAGAACTAGATTTCTTTATTATTATCGGTGTTGATAGTCAGCAAAAGGAAAAACAGTATCATCTGTTACTCTGGATTATCCCTATTATGCTATTGCAGGTCTGCCACCTCCACCATCCCCTAATGTTTCTACAGTTATTTCTGGAAGTCCTGAGTAGACATCACAGTAGAACACACAAAGAAGAACTCACAAGAACGGAATAGGATCAGCCATATTTCTTCCTTTCTGGCTCTAGCTCCTTTGGTAACACTGCTCAAGAAATCTTAGTCATTGTTGCCATTGCTTCCTTCACCCATAATCACCACCTCACACACCCTTGTGTCCCATTTCCTGCCATAATATTCTTAATAAGAGACTGCTTTGTACTTACAAAGTCTCAGGGCAATTTGGTGTGAAAACTGCACTACCTATCTACTTTCTTGATCCACAAATGACATTGAGACCATGTCCATGGAGTTGGCCAATGGAAGATTTCTGAAGGCATCCCTGCAACAACTTTAGAAAGTATGTTCTGTTATTATCTTTATTCTAAGAAGGGAAAATGAGGTTAGGTGAAGTCAAGAAACTCGCCCAAGATCACAGTCAAAAAATGATAGAGCTGGAATTTATTCCAAAGTTTATCTAATTCTTTGAAACCTATGACTTTATCCACTGTATGAACAGAAACATCTTTTTTTTTTTTTAATGTTCCATGTTCCATAATGATAGAGCTAAATGACCAATACAGCAAGCTCAAGATAATGTTGGAGTGTAAAGACTGGTCTTAGGCGTGAGAGCTTTATTGAGTCCTTGGGGTCCTACTCGTAAATATTTTTTAATGAATGCTAGCACTTTTGGGGGTAGGAAATGAATGCTAGCATTTATGGAGCTTCTAGAATGGTTTGCATTTATTTACTTCTGTACAGTTCACAAATCGTCTTCTTTCTCATCTAATTTATAACTAATGAAGAACATTGGAGTTATGAAGAGATTATCATTTTTATCTATTTTAAGTGCAAAACCAAAGCTCACAGAAGTTGTTTTTTAGTACTCAGAGACTTTATTTACCCAGCTACTTGGGGCAAGCCAGAACTTGTTCTCAGGCTGCCAGTTGTTCCTTCTTGCCTCTGCTGAAGGCTTTTACCTAAGGCTCAGGATTTCCTGAATGAGTCCTGAGTCAGAGACAAGCACACACACCCCACACATCCATAAACATTACTCCTTTTCAGTGGTTTCTTTTAGAATATAGGAATCTTTATAGGAATCTTTCCTCCCCAAACAAAACCAATTTTGTTTGTCTTGGAAACATGGAGCACTACTGTCATCTTGGGACAGAGTTGAATACCAAGTTCCAGAAAGCTTTCTCAAGCTAAACAATCTATCAGATTCCAGAAAAATCACACTATAAAAGAAGAACTAATGCACTCAAATCTTAAAACCATTCTATTTGATAAATTGGTATAAAGGATTAGATAAGATTAAACACACTGGTAGTTCTTTATAAGTGAAGGTTAGGAAATTAAACCCAAATATAAAATAGATCTTTTCATAGGTAAAGTACACAGCCATTCATTCATTCTGCTTCTGTTGATGATACCCATTATTTGAGTTTTGAAGAAAAAAATCTACTTTACCACCATTTTACTACCAGCGTTATTGAATTGTCAATAATTATTTGAAAAAACCATTTAGCAAAACAATGAGTGTCTTTATTAAGATAATTTAAAAAATGTAAATGTTTTTATGGAGGTAAACTTGAGTAGCCAGGTAGCAAGGAGCTCTTTATAGAAAACAGCTATATACTATTTTCCACAGTGGCTGTATTAATTCACATTCCCACCAGCAGTGTATGAGAGTTCTTTTTTCCACATAACCTCTCCAACACTTTTTATTACTTGTCTTGTTGATAACAACCATGCTTACAGGTGTGAGGTGATATCTCATTGTGGTTTTGATTACATTTCCCTAATAGCTAGTGAAGTTGAACATCTTTTCATATGTCAGTTGGCCATTTGTATTTCTTCTTGGAAGAAGTCATGATTTCTTTATATATTCTGGATATTAGACCCCTTATCACAGGCATTACTTGTTGATCCTCAAAAAATTAAGACTATAATTACCATATGACCCTGCAATCTCTCTTCTGGATATCTACCCTGAAAATTTGAAAACATCTATCCATAAAGGTATATGCACTCTGATGTTCACTGCAACATTATTCCCGGTAGCCAAGACATGGAGACAACCAATGTGTCCTTCAATAGATGATTGAATAAAAAAGATGTGGTACATATCTAGAATGGATATTACTCAGCCATTAGAAAAGATGAAATACTGCCATTTGCCACAAACATGGACGGATCTCACACAATGCAATATACAGATGATATATTATTGAATTGTACGCTTGAAACCTATATAATTTAATAACTAATGTAACCCCGATAAATTTAATTAAAAGCAAACAAACAAAACCCCAAACAATGCATATCGGTGACTCTCACACTGAAGGGAGAAGGGATGCACTACAGTTAGGAAGAGTGCATTCTTGGGTAGGTGAGAGCCAAGAAGAGTGACAGCTATCACCATATGAAGTTAAGCATAACTAACAGTTTGATTTAGATGTGTAGCCAATTGAATACCCAGCAGAAAAAAATGTTGAGAAACATTGACATAAACCACCAGATTATCCAAGAATGTTAGTCGATTTTTTCCAGAAAATGAAACAAATGTTTATTTTGAAATACTTTATTTTCATGTGGTTTTTTTTTGCTAAAGCATCAATAAATATTTAAATCTCTGTTCTAAGACAAAAATTGCATAATTAACAATTAAGGCATATGCCTTACAAGAAAGACATAAAATGTCCAAGGTATATTTAGAACATTGTAGTTCTTAAAGCTTCAACATGAGAAATGTTAAGCATATACTGTGAAATAATTCCAATAAACAAGTGACATTCTTCTAAACAGTGACAAAAATAAATGTACACATATGTTTCCCAACCTTGACAATGACATCACTATTTGCTTGGATCCCCCAGCCTCTGTCCTAGGGGCTAGCAGGCCGTGGGCTTCTCGGAAATGTTAATTTAATGACTAGAGAATACTTGCAAACATTTTACCTTCAAATTAAATAAGAATCAAAATTAAACTAACTCGGATTTGACAAAATAAACAATAAAAATAACAGTATAGTGCACAAGTAGAGTCAATTACATCCTTAATGACTTTGCATGTAAAATATTAACACAAAATCTTTGAAAACCAGCTGAAAATAAATAAATAAATAAATAAGTAGAAGAACTCTCCTAAGAGATGCTCAGATATATTAAGCCCAATCCAGGTGTTCTTGGGAGCTGATGATTTCTCGTTACCCTCTTTGATTCCTGTAAGGGCAGGGCCTGTTTCAGGTATAGCCAACAACCAACTTCCTTCTTCCTCTGGTCAATTGGAGCCGCCCCTATAACAGAAAAAAGTTGTCCTTAGTAGCTACTCAGGAAAACCCTCTGCACAGCACTCTTCTCCTGTCCTACCCTCTACGTTCCAGAGTTTTCTGACTCTAGTTTCACCAGACTGGCATCAAGTTCTTACTTCTAAACTGTGTCGCAGAGACCTCTAGGCTGTTGGGTACTCTTATTTAGGAATGTGGTGGTGGTGGTGAGGGATTGGGGGAGTCTGTGGTTTTTACTGAATTATTGGCTGCAAAGAGCCAGAACCTCTTGGATAGAGAGCAAAAAAGAGTGACAGCTGATTATCTGTCACACTGGGCCTCACTTAAGCCTCATAGCAACACTAAGTAGTAACTACTACTGTTTTTCCTGTTTTAATGAGCTTAGATAAGCCAAATAATTGTCCTGGAGTCACACGGTAAAGAGGTGGTGGAATCCAGATTTGTACCCAGTGCAGTGTCACTGCAAAGTCCCTGCTCTTCACTACAAACTAAGCGTTAGGGCCCAGATTGCAGAGAAACAAGGGTTTTGCTTTTCAGGTGTGAAGCCCATAAGAAACTGGAAGAAAAATGCCTGTTTTTATAACAAGTGGAAATCTTTTTTAGAATAACTGGCCAACGCCAATGAGAATTTTAATAAAGGCAGCTTGACTCACATTAATATGAATGAGGATGGAAAGAGGGATTGGATGGAGGGTGCTGGAAACATCCTTCTGCACCAGCGCACATTAGTGACCTTAATGGCAAATTTAATTGTGAAATAATGATTTTTCGGTCCCAACGAAACCCTGGGTTTCTCTGATATAATTTTCAGAAAGCAGATGCCAATATCTGTCACCAGTGACTCTATTCACATAACTCACTTGTTTAGCATCTTATCGATGATTTTCTTAACCATGGGGGCTTCGGGGTTGAGACAAACTTCCTGTCCATTCTTGAGAGTGACACTGCAGAGAGAAGGGAGAATCCACGTGAGGCGGGAGGTCGGTCTGGGGCTCAGGGTCGGGGCATCGGGACCGTGGGGCTGACATGGTAGCAGCAGCAGAAGCTCCAGGAGGCACTTACATGACTTCTGTTTGGCCGCAGTGGGGTCCCGGGGGCGTCACCTTCACACTCTGGATGTTCTTGTAGTGAATCCCCTGCAAGGTCTGCAAGCACTGGCAACGCAGTTCAGTGGCCACGGGCGCCCCTGCGGGGACAACAGACTCGGTTAGCGGAGATGTCCCCCCGATGGGCGCCCACCGTCTCCTGTCCCTCCCGTGAGATCCCAGGGCTCCGAGCCTCACCAGCTGCGCGCCGGCACGAGGCGGCCAGGAGCAGGAGCAGCAGCGCGGCCCGGAGGAGCGAAGGGGAGCGGGTGGCGGCGGCGGTCGCGGCGCGGGCCATGGTGCTCAGCTCGGGTTGTCGGGGCGGCGGTGCCTGGAGCGCGAGAGCTGGCGGGAGAGCTGGCTGAGCGGGCTCTGTGGCTCCTCGAGACCGGCGAACCCCTTTTATCTATAGTCGCAGCCCTCAGTCCTGGGAAAGTCCCAGACTTGCTGATCGTTCCGGGGTCCGGAAGGCGGGCCCCGCCCCAGTAGGGTGTTGAGGGTGGAGGCCCCGCCGGAGCCATCCTGCGTGGCCTGCGGTGTATCTAGGCTGACTCTGGGATAGTCTCCTTCCTCCCAAGTCTCCAAAGGAGCAGTGAGTGAGTCGCCACCACGCAGGACCTACCGCCTGCGAGGGGGAGACCGTGGGTGCCCAGGGACCCCAGTGCTCAGGACAGAAAAGGAGAAAACGCTGGAGAGCATCCGTGAGACCCTCCGACAAGGGTGGCACATCTTTAGAAGGAAAGAGTTATGTTTCTTTAGTTAACAGACCTAGGGGAATCAAGGAGGGGTGAGGGGGTAAATTTTACTTAGCTGTCTCTCTCTATATTCCATTAATATGTATTCTGTCTCTCTCTAAATTTCAGTTTTGCATATTTCATACGCCTGAAATTAAGGCTCAGTTTAAAATACCGTTGTCATCTCGGATTCCAGAGAGTTGGACTTGTTTTCTTGTTGTATACTCCGAAATTGCACTTAATATATCTTGTTTTTATTTTCCATTTGGTGGTAACAGGGATGAGTGTCAAAAGTTGAAGCCATGTCACCATAAAAAATAAATTAATTAATTTGAAAAAAAAAGATGAATCCAGTGTTAATTTCAATAAATTGAGGGTTATAATATAATCTCCTCTTCTGTACCTGGTTGAGCTTCCTTCTTCGGTCTGTAATGTTGGAACTTCCAAAATTTATGGGCGATATCCTTTTCCATGTATGAAGGGTTCATATTTGATCTATGAAATATGGGACTGGAGGTCTCCTTGAAACTGTGGAGGGTCTAGTCCTGCAGGCTCATGGGGTTCACCTCTTCTGGTCTATCCTTGGACAAAATAGCACTTGGACATTTGGGAGTGGGGATCCTCTATACAGCACCCTTACTCCAGTGGTGTGCAGATGGAATATGAAGTGCCACATCACATATAAAACCCCATTTCTACAGAACTTTCAGTATCAATCCCCTTTTCTCTAGAAACAAACATTGCATGTCTCTGTTTTCTGGCTAGGAATTTTAGTCTTTGAACCTGACGCCTTGTAAAATCATTGATTGATTCGATGATTAAGTGTAATTTTCCAGGTTGAATTCAGACCTTTTGGAGACCCGGGATATGATGGGAGGCAAGAGAGGAGAAAAGAATAGCCTCTGGCCCAGGGATATATGTCTATGGATGGGGTTCCAAGCAGCCAAGCTCAGGGGATAAGAGCCTGTACTCCATAGCCAGCCACCTGGTGAGCAGTGAAACCACCTGCATTTAAGTTGCCAGCTATCATCTACAAGTTATTAAAGATTTATTTGCCTACTCTAATGTAGTTATGAGAAATGAGTCAACATTTGTGAGAGCCAGCATGGATTAAGGGATTATAAACGTTTGTTTAAATAAATAAAGTGGATATAGCTCTTTCCAATATTGCCTAAACAGAAACTCAACCTGTGCAAATCCTTCTATAAAGAAAAAATTGTAATGGAAAAGTTTCTTCGTGCGTTTAAAATTTTCTATATCAGGCTTTCTAAAAGGAAGGTGCATCTATACTCTACAAGGGAAGCATTTATCTGAGTTTTTTTTTTTTTTTTTGCTGTTGAGATCAATCATTTGATTTATTTTGTAGTCCTACTTTTGATCACCTCATCTGTAAAAAGGGAGTTTGAATTAAAGACTCTCCATATTATTTATTGGAAACATTTTACAAAATAAATGACTGCCCTTAAAAATACTTTATCAGTATAGTCCTGAGAGAAAAACTAGAGAAATTAAAAGAATATTAAAATTTGCATTAAGCACTAGGAAACAAGAAATCATCTAAATTTTATAAAACATGTGACTAGCTCATGAATAATTGAGAGCTTGTGTGGTTACTCTTCATGTCATTGTTCCTGGAATTTGTTGGGAAACTGGCCCAGAAATACAAAAGCTATTCTTTAAAACAAGAGATGCATTGTTTTGTTTTCTAATTGTAAATATAATACAGGCTCATTTTATAAACTTTATAAAAGTCAGAAAGGCATGAAGAAATTTTTTTTTTCTCTAATCTCTCTTGTTTATGGAACAAACTTTAACAGGTCACTGAAAGTTTGCTTTTTTCTTCTTCAATAAACATAGTAGCTGACAAATTATAAGAGCTTGCAAGATTCTGAATAAATATGAAACAGGTCACTTCCTTTATTTATTGCCACAGACCATGGGCAAGTTACTTAACCTCTGCACCCACTCCAAGGTGCAGCACATTTATTTTGTGCTAAATTCCAGGTGCTCTTCTAAGAGTTTACCAAATATTGACTCAGTCAATCTTTCAGACATCCCTGTGAAGTAAATGTTATCTTTATGGAACTTTCAGGTTACAAATTAAAAAAAAGAAACTGAGGTGTGGAGAGGTTAAGTAAGTAACTTCCCTAAGGTCACAGGATACTGAGCCTGGTTCTCAAATCCAGGAAGAATGTTTTTTAACCATTACGCTGATAGAAACGCTCTGTGATAGCTGGTTAAGAAGTTCCATAGAGGAGTGATTCTTTAAAATCTGTTTGTTATTCCCTTAGTTGAATAGTTCACGTTTACTCATTCTAAAATGGAAACACAGCAAAACGGTCATACATCTCTATCGTTCTGTTTCACTAACAGCACAACTCTCTTCTGTGGCATAGATACAGCTTGTTATATTTTCTTATGTGTCTGATTCTGAAAATAGTAATAGTTACTCTACCATTGGAGAAGTCCACGGAGAAATCTGGCAAAGATTCATCTTCTTAACTAAATGATGAAGGCTGATATCATTAGTGTGATGTCAAGTCAATATTATGTACTTCCTGATATGATGGGATGAGAAAGGCACATTACCTCTTCGGTAACATTTCCAAAAGTTCATAAGCCGAGTCTAACCATGAGAACAACATTCTGCAAACCTAAATTGAAGAATATTAAATAGGTGACTAGTACTCTTCAAAACTGTCAAGGTCATGAGAAATAGGAAAAGACTAAGAAACTCACAGTCCAGAGGAAAGTATAGAGACATGACAACTGCAATGTGGTGCCTTGGATTGCATCCTAGAGTAGAAGGAGGACAATAGCGGAAAAGCTGGTGAAATCTAAATAAACTCTGGAGTTTTGTTAATAGTAATGTGCCATTGTTGGTTTTTTAGCTTTGGCCAATGCAGCATGGTAATGTAAAATGTTTACAACAGAGGAAACTCGGTAAAGAGTACACTGAAACTATATTATCTTTGCAACTTTTGTAAATTTAAAATTGTTTCAAACTAAAAAGTTTGTTTTTCTTTCTCAGTTTAGGATACCACCAAAATACAATCAGTGGACATGCATACTTTACTTGGTAGCTTTCTAGAAAGGAAATTGAATTTTTGTTGAGTTCATATTGCCCAAATATGCAAATCCAAAGTAACTGCTGTCCCAGTTTGAACACTTCATCGTGTTTCATAGATTTAAATTATTTGTCTTCAGCATTAATAGTGATGTCTAAATCTCTCATCTATTTCTTGTAACTGAAGAAAAACAAAATGTTTGCTGTAATGGGATCCAGATGCAACTCACAGCTGACATAAATGAGAGTACTCAGGGAAATTAGAACTCTAATTTATCTACAGGAGCTGCCAAAAAAAAAAAAAAGAAAAAAAGAAAAAGAAAAGAAAAGGAAATGAAGCATGTCAAGATGCAGAAAACATTTGTAGATTTTGTGGAATTTGACTCCTGGGAATGGCTTAATCAAAAACACTTGTTTTTGGAAATGAAGTAAAAAAAGAATATTTCCTTTTTTGGTAGTTGTTATTTTCTCCTTAATATGTCATTTGAATCCATGAGAGTCTCTATCATCCAAAATGTAGAGATATTTAAAAGCACAGGGATGCTGTAGTCTAGTACAATAAATACATTCATTCTCTCGTTTGAACAAGTGTCTCTTCAAGCCAATTACTTTTGCAAGAGTTGAATGCTGGGTTTTTATGCATAATCTTTAAACCCATGTAAGCAATGACTTAAAGATATGGAAGACTCTTTAAAATGGAAGCTTTGGTGGTTAATTCCCTTTTGCCCTGGAATCATTACAAATCTTTCAGAGGTGACATTTAGTACAATACAGGCCCATTGCTTTACTCTGGTTATTGCTGGAGCCACCAACTGCATGAAAGTGTGAACCTACAGCAACTCGCCTTAGCTGTACCAGGTATCTTTGTGCCCCGAAAGTTCTCTGTCACAGCTGTGGAAAATCTCTTGCACAGTGAGGAACAGGAGGCAATCAATAGGCAATCAGTAAATACTTCCTCCTCTTTCATGTTCTAGGCCAATATTCTACATGATTTCTCAAAGGGTCTCCAGTTGGATTAAACCCCAGTTATTTGCACTCTTTTTTCTATTTCACTCTTCTCCTTTGCCCAATCCTGTACATTGGGAATAATTCCCCCAAATAAATCTGCCTCATGGCAGGCTGATAGCTCTGCTTTTTCTGGGGCACTTAGGCCAAGACACTGCTCCATTCTGAGAATAAACCATGCTGACTGGCAGGCAGGAATGGGCAGTGGAGCTGTGCTCTACCCCTAGTTTGCCTTAAGAACTTATTCCCACACAACTGTCATCTCTATTTCCTAAAATTATCTAATGACTCCGGTCTGTGGGGAGAAGAGTGAAAATGTCTGAACATGACATTAAATTCCTGGACGAATCCACCACTACAGGCCAAGGGCATTAGTGTATACCAGGAACAAGGTCAGCCTCTCATTTCAAGTGTCCCCAGAGACTGTATGTCTGGCTTCTCTTTCTCTTTCTTCTGGTAACACACCATTGACTTATCTGTGTTCAGTCTGTGGGATTCAGTTGAGATGACCTGTTTCTCAGTTCCTTCCCAAAGGGACCACCCCACAACCCTGCTGATTGATTCAGAGACGGGTAAGTGACCCAAGCCTGGC